CGACTGCCTCCCCTCTGCCTCCCGACCGCCTCCCCACCGCCTTCCCACCGCCTCCCTGACCGTCCCACTCAGGTCCTCTGTTCGCCTCCCGACCGTCTTCCCACCGCCTTCTCGACTGTCCTGCTCAGGCCCTCCTGCCCCCCCGCCTCCACCAGGTCTGGCACTGAGGAGTCAGAGCTGGGGGCTTCCATCAGCTGAAAGCTCCCATGTTCAAGGATCAGCCAGGGACACACCACGGTGCACCTGACACCCTCTGACCAGAGCTGAGAACCTTCGGTTACCTGCTCACCCTGCCTGTCAGTCACCATCTCAGCCTGCCTGTCAATCACCATCTCAGCCTGCCTGTCAGTCCCCATCTCACCCTGTCAGTCCCCATCTCACCCTGCCTGGCACCATCTACATCCCAGTGATGTCCTCTGTAACGGGCGGCTGTCACGTTCTGCCTGGGGATGTACGGAGGTGTCGGAGGGTGTGTCCCCCTCAGCATGAGACCTGGGTGCCCGGTGCCTGTGCCCACAGCTCCCTCTTACCTGCTCCAACTTCCTCTCGAGGCGCAGCGCCGCCTTGGCCCCCGTGAAGTCGCTCTCCAGGAGGTCCTGCGTGGCCAGCACGTTCCTCTGGAAACGCAGGAACTTCTCGTACTTGTCCGCCTTGGTCAGGCCCGCGAGGTGGGAGGCCACGTAGCAGTACTCGTCCCTGGCCGCGGGCGAGAGCGCGCACTGCCGGCTGGACCCACCCCCCTCGGAGGGGGGCGGCTGTGCCGGGGGGTGCAGGTAGCGGAACAGCGGCGCGCCCGGGGCCTCGCTGGGGCGCAGCGCCGTGTTGATGGTGAAATGGGCCAGCGCGTCCTTCATCGCGGCCACCTTCTTCTCCGACGGCTTCGCCGGGCGTCCCCTGGCCGTGGGCGGGTAGGCATTGCGCCAGTGATGGACGATCTTCTCGGGGGGCCTGTAGAGGTTGTTGGGGTTCAGGTGGCCCGTGGTGTGGAGGCAGATGTCGTGAAGGTAGCCTTTCTCAAGTCTTCGCAGCAGTTTCCTGACGTCCCACAGCGCGTCCACAGCTGTGGCCGCACGGTGCCCCCACGGCAGGCGGACTGAACAGGGAAGGCGGGCCCTCATGCCACTCGTTCCCCGGGACCATCGGGCAGCCACGCAGCGGCCCCACGGACGCCCCATTCCCGGAGGAGGAGCGCAGGGACCGAGGGAAAACATTAAAACCCGCTTGTCAGACCAGCTCTGCCCAGAAGCAACGGCCCTGAACCAGCACCCAGGGGTTCTCCCAACACGCAGCGGGGGTCCCAAGAAGGAGGCCGGGTGACAGCCCCCACGGCCGTCTGACCAGTGGGCCACACACCGGCATCCGTGGCAGCAGCTGCAGGTCCCGGTCAGAACCGCGGCCCGGAGGGGCTGGGTCTCGGCTCAGGCGGCACCGGACCAT